GGGGGGGGGGGGCGGAAACATTGTCCTTGATCAGTGTCGTGGCGTCTTTGCTGCTCCGTTAATATGGCCGACACCCCCCGCCCACCAGGTGATCTGTGCCACCATCGCGTTCGGCATGGGCATCGACAAGCCGGACGTGCGCTATGTAATCCACGCCAGCCTGCCCAAGTCTGTGGAGGGTTACTATCAGGAGTCCGGCAGAGCCGGCCGAGATGGCGAGGTCTCCCACTGCGTGCTCTTCTACTCCTATACGGACGTCATTCGCATCAAGAGGCTCATCACCAGTATGTATTTCAGGGTAGTGGGGGAGGGGGGGCTTACGTGATCTGGCACTATGTTCCCCGAAAGCACACCCTGACCTGCTCCAGTAAGCGGTCAGTTGTGCTCTTTGGCTACAGTCTGGAACCCGACCAGTACAGTTTTAATTGCTCTTTTCACACACAGTGGACAAAGAAGGAAACCATCAGTCCAAAACCATCCACTTCAACAACCTCCACAGCATGGTACATTTTTGCGAGAATATAATGGAGTGCCGAAGAATACAGCTCATGGCATACTTTGGGGAGAAGAACTTCAATCCCAGTTTCTGCAAGAACCATCCGGAAGTCATCTGCGATAACTGTGCACGGCCCAACGTTAGTGGAGCTCTTACTCTCTGCGAATTCACAGGATGCAACCCTCAGGTGTCTTGTTTGAAATCGATTAAGTGAAGTTTTGGTTTCTTTAGCAATACAAGTCCAGAAACGTGACCGAAGATGTGAAAAGGATCGTGAAGTTCGTGCAGGAGAACTGCGAAAAGGTTGGAGCAAGATACAGCAAAACTGCTCAGCAGAACCGACTGACTCTCAACATGCTGGTTGATATTTTCTTAGGTACGTTTTGTTAATGTGGTGAGTACTTTTATTTTCAGTGTAGGTCTTTTTTTTCTTCCTTTTTTAAATCCTAATTGTTTATGATGTGACCCTCTCACAGGAGCGAAAAGCGCTCGGATCCAGTCAGGAATGTTTGGGGTAGGCAGTGCGTACTCCAGACTCAATGCTGAGCGGCTCTTCAAGAAGCTAGTGCTGGATTACATCCTAGAAGAAGACCTGTACATCACGGCTAACGGCCAGGCTGTGGCCTATATCTCACTGGGGCGGAACGCAGGCAGTGTCCTTAACGGCTTCATGCAGGTGAGAGGCGGGGCCGTCGTTTGCAACCAACTTCTGTCCTGAACTGACTTGTTCGGCTTTATCAGTTTTCAGCAAGGCAAAATACTTGGATCAAGAAACATGCAGTTGCTGAGACATGCAAAAGTTCCACGCCAATATATTTCCGAAAGCTTAAGGGGTTGCTAGCAAAATCTATAATGCTTTGGGTCCAAACCATTTGGATGATGTCACTTCCTGTTTAGGTTTCACTGTCATCTCACCTTTGCTTGGGGACGTCATCCGCTGCAGGTGGAGTTCCAGGAGACAGAGAGTGCCTCCAGTATCCGGAAGCACAAAGCTGCCGTGACCAAAGCAGTCTCCCAGAGGGAGGAGATGGTCCAGAAGTGCCTGCAGGAGCTCAACGAGCTGTGCAAGAAGCTGGGCAAAATCTTCGGGATACACTACTACAATATATTTTCTACTGGCACTCTCAAGAAAATTGCCGGTGAGCAGAACTTTTTCCCCCTAAAGTGTTTCGGTGACAGATGTGATGTGTCCCTTACTGCGCCTGAACCTGACAGTGTGGCCTCTCTGCAGAGACCTTGTCTGCCGACCCTGAGGTGCTGCTGCAGATCGACGGCGTGACCGAGGACAAGCTGGATAAGTACGGAGCTGAGCTAATCGAGCTGCTGCAGAAGTACTCGGAATGGCAGCTGCCAGGTGAGCGGTCACAGAGGACACTGTGCTTTACAGTTTATCTGTCTGTCTCTCTCCATCCATCCATCCATCCATCCATCCATCCATTGTACCCCTGGTACAGTTGGTGACTCTTTTCCACTGCCACCAAAAACCGAGTTGTTTGAGCCTTACCCGTGGTCACATGGCCTTTCCTTCTGGCCAAGCTGGTTGCGTCACCACCATCTGATTAGTCGAAATGCACCAGTGCACAGGAGATACTGGTGTTCTGCACATGGATTATCTAAAGGAAAAAGCGTATATTCTATATGATTCATTATTTAGTAGTATCGCACATCGCAATATATTGATGCATTCCCGATAACTCATTCAAATGTCCGACCTCCTACTTAAAAACAGCTCAATGGAATGGATTCATAATGCAAATTGGTTGATGCTGACATAGCACTATGATTTTCACAGACGCGGTAGCAGAAATTAGCACACAGAAAAAAAAAAAAATAGCATAGTAAATCACGATGTATACCGTGTGAACATAAATATGCGCCTCGTCAGTTTTTTTTGACAGTCGCTCGTCAAACTGGCAGCGCCTTTACCGAGTCGACCCCTCTGTAGCAAGCAGGAACCGTGCTGTAACTAGTTTTTCTTCAAGGTACGGCTCAGGTACCGGGCGGTTCGTGTGTCGAGCAGAAAATTCCCGACAAAGAGCCTGATATCATACAAATAGGGCGCAAGGCAGGGACACCAGTCAGGAGGCACCAGTGTTTAACTGTACCAGTGTTTAACTGTACCAGTGTTTAACTGTACCAGTGCTTAACTGTACCAGTGCATGGTTTATTTCTTTTTGTCCATGCTGGTCTTTAATGCTGATATGCTTTGTTGGGTGTCGGGTGAGAGTCCCCACTAAACAGTGGGAGTCCTTGATTAGCTTTAAGCTTTTAGCCCAGGAGTCTGCGGCGCTGGCTTCCTTCCTACACGCATCTCTGCTTCATCTCTGCTTCATCTCCGTCCCCCGCAGTGGGGGAGCAGGGTGAGGGTCCCAGCGACGCCCAGGGCTGGATCGACACATCATCCGGCCGAGTAGACGATGGTGAGTATGGGGGCGATGAGGAAGGAACATCGGGCTATTTCAGAAGAAGAGCCGCCCGGGGACAGAAGCGAAAGCAGGCCTCCTGTTTCCGGAAGCCCAAGAGGCAGAGAGGAAGCTCTGCGAGCGGGCAGGCCTCCTCCAGTGGGTAAGTGCTAGCTTGCCGTTACGTACCTGAGTAGTTTACCTTGCTTTCACCTCATCTGCAAAAGCTGGCGATTCCTCCCCCAAATGCTAACTTGGCTGGGTGTGAAAATGTATTCATCCATTTTGTGATGGAATAATAGAAGTTTATACCATGAATGATTTCTGGTTATAAATTTAGGCTTTTTGCTGATAATGAATGGTGTTTTAAAAATGTAATAACATTGACCTGTTGGCTAATCAGATCCACCTGGGTTGATGTATATCATTATAACAATAAAATAAAAATATAATTCACAAAATTATAAATTTTACACATCAGTATGAAGAATAGTCTGCTGTTAATGTTCACATTGGAAAGCAGTGGTTGTGGATATAATTTCCTATAAAATTGTTTTAATTGCTGCTTGTCACATAGACCAGAGCTACCGTACTGTGAATACGGCCATCATCCAGATGAGGATTTTGACATTATTGACTTTTTTTTTCCCCATCCTGGGTCGGCGACAGCGGTGACAAGCCCTGGGCTTCTTGGAGTTACAGAGGAAAGGCCAAAGCCAGGCCCACAAACACGGGCAGGGGATGCGGGTCGCAAGCGGCAGCCTCTGCGGTGAGGAGGCCGGGCATGATGGCCCTGCCCACGCCCCGGTCCCACCAGCGGCCCTTCCTCAAGCCCGCCTTTTCACACCTGGGCTAGTGCTTCGCTAAGCCATGCAGAACTTACCAGTCAGCTTCAGTATTTGTAAATACTTGTGAACTATGTATGTGTTTTACCAGTTTGTATGTAAAGCTTTCTGAATACTTTTTAATTAAACTAAAATTACATTTTTATCTGAGTTTTCTTAAATATTTTAAAATACAGTAACTCCTTTATTTAACCAGTATAACAGGTTATGGGTTTAACAGTCAAAATTGTACACTGCTATGTATTTTGTCAGTCAGGCTGCGAATGTGACTCATACATAGATCATTCTAATGTCCATCCATCCATTTTCTGCTGCTTATCCGGTCCATGGAGCCCCTGCCTTCGACTGCTAGCCGATCTCCATTGTATCCAACCCGTATGACCCCCCCTGCAGCTGGTGGGCCCACAGGAGAGTGAGTCCATGTGACCCCTTCGGTCTATGCTCATGGGTGGGGGCTCGGCTTCCAGCTCCCTCCCCAGCCCAGGGTGAGGCCCTGCTCTCTTATTCTTATGTGTTCATATGAAATTTTGATTCACCCAGAAAAAGAAAGAAAAATGTTTTATGCAAGTTAGAATCGATAGTACCCTTTGTATTTGTTTGGGATCCATCCCTTTTCCATACGTACTTGTCCTATGCACAGTCACAGGGGTCTGGAGCTTATCACAGAGGCTATGGGTGTAAGGCAGGGAATGACCCAGGATGGGGTGCTAACCCATCACAGGGCACATCACACACACACACAGACACACACACACAGGCAATATGCCAACTCAATTTATTTGGATTGGGGGGGGGTACAATTATTATTACTCAATATAGTATAGTACTGCTCCGATTGATTATGCAGGTATTTCAAATAAGTCCAGAAACAAACATTGGCAATGGAATCCTATTTGTGTGTGTATGTGAGTTATGTATGTTACATTGTGGGGACCAAAATCTGTGCATGCAAATGAAAAATTAGAAATGCCAGATGTGTTGTACTTTGCCGATTTTGCCCTAGCCGATTAGATTAGGATGTCCTTATTTTCCGAGAGGCTGAGCATAGTCTGCTTCCAGGACATGCATAAGGCTCGTGTGAGGGGCGTGTAAATTACACATTTGTGCTGCATTCGTTCCTCTCCTGGCATGGCCTGTACATTCTAAAGTATTTTTTTTTTAACTTCTAAGCATTTAAACAACATTCTAAGGGGATTCTAAGCCTGTTTTTGACATCTCAAATTATAGTAGTCAATGGAAGAATAGAAATGCAGAGATGAGGAGGTACTCCAGTCTCACTCCATCCATGCAATAAATCCCAGGTTTGCGTCTCACCGTTTACATAAGAACATAAGAAATTTACAAACGAGTGGGGACCACTCGGCCCATCGAACTCGTTTGGGGGGGAACTTAACTAATAGCTCAGAGTTGTTTATCCTGCATTGTTTCTCGTTGAGCTCTAGTGTCCAGTGTCAGTGGGAAGTGCTAGTTTTTTCCTTTGTCCCTGATGATGCTCGACAGCACGTGCAATTCCTGCCACTGTGAAACCACACCACAACTACTACGAAAATGTAAACTTTATAAAGATTACAATTTACCTGTATTATGTTAATATAACCACAACAGAGGAGCTGCACTTTCCATAATGGAAAAACTGGTCCACTAAAACAGCTGTGGGCTCTGACAGGTTCATTAACATACTGCCAAAATTATAGATTCAGCTGCTGCCTTAGTAATAAATATTAAACCATGTCTAATGGAAAGCAGACAGAAGCTGCTGAGACGTCTTTGCCTAATTAAAACGCCAGCAGAGTGAGGGTAGCATCATGGCCGGCCGGCGGCAGCCTGACACTCCCTCATTAGGGGCTGTTCCGGAAGCCCTCAAAGCCCTCACTGCCCCCTTCACACTAATCACGGAGCCAAAAACCAGCGACCATTTTAAAAGAAAAAAGAAAAAAAAGGAAGGATTTTTTCTCAATAAAATAAAAATAGCTACAGCAAGGGTTGCTTAATTATTTTTAAATGAAGAACTTGAGTTCAGTATGTGGGCGATGTAGGTTTATGTTGTATAGCTTATGCTGCGGAGTTCAGTGCTTTGCACGGATTTCCCAGCTTCCCCTTTCTGCCAGTCATACTCAAGCCCTTAGTTGTGGCATAAGTAAGGACAAAATGTTTGACGGCTCAACATGCAGAGAGCAGTGTTTCTCCACCCACATTTTTGTTTACATTTAGATGACACTTAATCCAGCTTTAGTACTAGGCACTTTGGACCAATCATGTTTGGGAAAGGTACTATATAAAATTTGAACTGAAGATATTGTTTAAAAAATATACGCAAGCTACACAAGAAAGAATCCCCAATGAAGGGACAGCCACATTTTCACTGACTTCATCATTTCTCCAGGGACTGACTGAGCCTGCTTTGGCTGCTTTGGCTGCAAGTACTTGTTAAATAAAGGTAAATATTTAAATGTGCATTCGATTGCCCTGGAGACGACTGAGTGCAGTCCTGCAAACAACAGCAGATGCTGAATATCTATGATACAAGTCGCAGTAAAGGGAAGTGCAGGTGTGAGGTGCTTTCACAAGCCAGATCAGCATTTTAATAACAAAATCAGAAGGAGTTACTCATCTCTTTTTAGAGAGTAGTGTTACCATTACTGGGCTGCTTCCTCTGAAATCAGCTCTTGCAAAGACTGGAATGTTAATATTCCTTGCAGTCTGTCATTGAAACAATGTGATTTTAATTTAAAGAATTGATTTAATCTTTACACACACACACACACACACACACACACACACACACAGTGTAATGGTAATGCCAGATGTATACAATTTCGTTTGTCAGCTGAAAAGAATTAAAGGCATAGGATAAATCAATGATGTATAACAATGTAAAATGATTTAAAAAAAAAATGTCAGTATAAATCAGAAAGATTCAATTTGGATTTGACAAAAATATCCATTGCCATTTCTATCTTGAGCCATTGCTTAAATGTAACCAATTATAACTACTGCAGAAAGGTTGCATACAAATCGACACACATAGAAAATACAATTACAGCTATGCATAAAATATATACAAAACAGAACATATATTGTGTGTAATATACAGCAATCAGGCTCAATCAGATTGGTGCCTGTGGAATCTAACCTCCTAATGTATTCTGAAAATAGATCTTACTCCCCATTAGAACACATGACATTTTTCTGTGCTCTGCATTATGAGGCTGTTCGTGGTTCTAATGGTTTCAGAGAAGTACTTTTGCATCCTTGTCACTGGTTCATAATTCATAGAGCAGTGTTTCTCAACTGGTGGTTAAGGTTAGGGCTGGGTAGGGGTTAAGGTCGTCATAGGGATTTTCCGCATACCAATGAATGGAGAGTCCCGACAAATATATAATTACAAACCTGTGTGTGTAATTCTTTTCAGAACAATACCTGTGTTAAATATATTAATACTATAATAAAAATTAATAATATAATATAGTCCTTCAATACTGCAGAATGAATATAGTTTATGTTGCTTTTTCATTTCTGTGCTTGTTACATTATTGCATATTAATACTGTTAAACTGGCAATGCAATTCCCTCAATAAACTTTTTTTTTTTAAATGAATATCATATAAATGTCCTTCGAACACTGCCAAAGGACCCTTATTGAATGTATAATATGCTTGCAGTGTAATATGCTGACTCTTGATGGCAGTGTTGCATCGCACTATTCAAAACCAGTTCCAGAGATGGTGGCTTAATATTTAGCACCACAGCCATGCCAGGGCAGGGAGTCTGTCTCCCTGCTCCCAGCTCTCCGTATGTGGAGTATGCATGTCCTCCCCGTGTGCGTGTGCGTGTGCGTTTCCCCAGGAGATTCCCAAAATGCCCTGTGACAGACTCCGTGGAGAGTGAGTTGGCCTCTTGTCTTGCGTCCCAGGATACGCTTCTGGTCACGGCCCTGTACAGGATGAGTGGGTAACAAGAAGATGGATGGCATTTCCAGAGCTTAAGAGGAGACTAACTTTTCAGTTTTCAATGTTTATTTCAAGTTTTTATATTCTTATGGCACCGGTTACAAGGGACTATCAGAAGGAAACAATATCTCATACTGTTTCATATGGATGGAAGGTTTCCTACCATACAAAGATGGTTTGGAATGAATAGGACTGACCAGGAGCTGGATTTGGCACACAAGTTTGTATATATATATATGTATGTATATATTTATACATTAAGTACATGAACAGCAATCTCCAATCCCACGTTAAAAAGATGAAGTTTTGTCGATGACAGGAATAGCCCGGCCACGTCAGCTGACACTTGACGGCTTATGTGTGTGAGCGCGAGTGTGCCGTATGCTTTGCAGATGCTGATATGATAAAAGCACTATTCTTCACAAGGGTCAGCCTGGCCGGGCCTTCACTGAATCTTTAAGCATTCACTGGCTGGGAAAAAAAAAACAAAACAAAAAACAAAACAGCAGGACAACTTGAAGCTCCTCTAAAGGAGGATTCCACTTGGATCACTGTGCACGTATCATATTTCTTCTACATTAGGGCTCCACCTAGAGGTCAGAGGGGCTGTGACACACTGTGATCCAACCACCCCGCAACCAGAACGCAGAGCTGCGTAATGAATGCTGGCATTTGTCATAGCCTTTCTTGGATATGTGCTCATCCTTATCAATTTTTTAATCATTGATCATCATGCTGAAGTAATCAGCCATCCATCTCACTTCTTGAACTGACGGCAAATGGAATCCACCACTGTTATTTCTGCTACTGGTTCTGGTGCGTAGGTATGGGTGTTTCTGTCCTAGGTCAGTACCTGCTCGTCACGTTAAATATCTTTGTGTATAAGGAGACAATATATTCCTCAGTGTCCACAACTGCACCCTAATTAACATCATCAATACATCAACAACATATCACTGTAATGCTTTCTTGGTGAATGCTAACAGTTGAGACATCAATTTCTGTCGAACAGTGAACCCTTGACTATTGGCCATCTGAATGATATACATCAAACTTCCAATATCAACATTTATTAACCATTTATACAACAGAACATTTTCCTGCTCCACGTCAGGTTAAGCTCCTCCTTCAGTGATATGTCTATATCCTTAACCTGCTGCAGAAACAAGTTGGTTGAAAGGAATGATCCACCTGTCAACAGAACCTAGTCAGCTTACTGTCCACAGCCCTCACTGGTCACCCAGCAACCAAGGTAATCAGATTGAAATTCAGGCAGAAAAAGCATCAGGCAAACACAGGCAAGCACGTACACACGTGCCGGGGGGGGGGGGGTTACGCATTGTGCTCTACTTACGGTGTGTCAAGAGAAACTGAGAATCGTTTAACAAACAGCAGGTATTATTAGGGTCACGACTATCAAGGATGATCAAACACTATTCAAAGTAACAGTGTAACTATCACTTTCCTTTGTGAACTGAATAAATTAATGTCAGGGTCCATTTATTGCAAACGAGTGTCTGGGTTATGGTGAAATGTCTGTAACTGTGTCGTCTCTTTTGTGAAACGATGCAAAAATTATTTTTTTAAAAACGCCAGACAAATGCCAAGCAATGAAAATAAAAACACATCAAAATAAATCATTAAATAAAATTAATTTAAGCAGCTATATTGAGGTTCACCCATTTACAAATGAAATGACAGGACGACCTCTAATGACAGAGAAGCATCCATGACCTACAATCCGCAGCTGTCACTGCAGAAGCCATATCCAGTGACCTATGAGATCGCGTGTCACATTTTTATTGTTATGATATTTTTTTTATTTTAACCATTATTGCTCATTGAATAATGCTGCTGTTTGTTTCACGCATGGAAAGACTGATTTAGCTACATAATGCTATTAAAGCAGTAAAAATGTCGATCATCATAAGATCATTAACAACACTTCCCCCTTTTAAATCCCTTTAGACCAAGTAGAGTGACATATTAATCGCCTGCTTTTTTATCAACAAAAAAAAATCTGACATCCTTTTTAGAAAGAAAATATTAAAACCGTCTGTACAATTATGTGCTCGTAAAATATATTTGTAGGGTAAACTACCTTCAAGTTAACCAAAAAATAAAAAGATTCATGTTTACATGAAAAATAGTCTGCTGTTCATTTTTGGTTTCTCTGAGCTTCTAGCTTGCATGCGTGAGTGTCAAACAAATCCACATGCTTTGTCGAGATTCCGATTTTGATTCTGGCTGATAGTGTGCATTTTCTGCTCGCAGCACCAGCATTAAACATGAGAGATTTAGCAATTCCCAGCAAATTTCCCAAGCATAGTGTTTGCCAGACCGGTATTTCACAGTGACTTGGTGAATGGGTGGTCTCTCTGAAGACTCCAGTCACTGCAAATAGCAAACCGCTACTCGTACACAGACATCTTGCGGAGCCCAGTACATAATGGGAATTACAAGCAGGCAATGCACACAGAACCTTATCTTTTCATGTCCTGTCAGCTTCTTCGGGGGTGGGGGGGGGGCTGTATTTAGCACATTTACCTTGATTTAAATATTAATTTTATTTTTTAAATAAACCATCCAGTTACTCCTTCATGAACCATTCATCATCATGGTTTTTTTTTTTGCACACTCTCTCACACACAGACACACACAAACTGGTAAACACATCAGTGCTTGGGGGAGGGAATATAAAATTAAAACAGGGTTGTATCCAGAATACACAGGGTGTAACAGCATAATTATTGCCTTTGGGCGGACAGACACTTCAGCTCTGTTGGGCCAGAACTCATCTACACTGATCACAATGTCCTTCCTCAAGCCTTAAGACCTTATTCACCGTACAAGGGATACGCTGTTCGCGTGAACAGAACACCATCAACTTACAGCACAACATGAATGGAGGAAAGTCGAGTAGCATGGAAACACAAACCATGCTAAACCATTGAAACCATGTCTCGGGGAGCGTGACTGGATCCATCCCTGTTTTAGCTGTCTTCCCTGCCATTTATCCCACAGACGCTTCACCTCACCTAATCCAGACTTAAAAAACGTATAATTTAATTTTTAATAACAAAATAACATTTTGGTTCTCTTAAAATATACATGGAAAAACTGTTAATATATTAGGAAACAAACTACTTGGTACAAAAGTACAGCGTTATTATTTTCATACTATATTTTAGTGCTTTCTATAATTAGAAACATCGTAGCTGATACGGAACTAAACTCCCAAATAACTGTTTTTGCGTGATTAAAAAAAAAAATACTCGAAAGCTTGGAACTTGGAATAAAATAAACTGGAACAGAATTACTGAAAATACAGCAAAAATGCACACGTGAAAATTGTTTTAAATTCTCAGCTTGAGATAATAACACTGTTCATAAAGTAAACAGCACATCTAGCTTGACCTATGGGAGCTAGTGAGATTTTTCAAGAGGTCGACCATAATCACGTCCCTAATCAATTACTTACATTGCTAGGTCACACAACACAATGATGTCTATTTTATTTAACTTTTTGAGAAACTAAATTATTAAGAAACAGAACTCTGCAACAGAGCTCACTAACGCTCACACCTAACTGAATTTTCTACAGAACTGAATACCTTTGCCATGATAGCAACAACCTTCCTTGCCACTAACGATTTGTTGAACAGATAAAAAAAAAACCTTCACCTTACTTGCAGCTTAGTCAACCTTTTCAAACAGGTTCACTTAAGTCTCACTTTGTTTACACTCACCTACTGTACCACAGCCCCCCACCATAAAGAAAGCAAATATTATAGTGTTTAAAGAACTGGCATAGATGTCGGTATCACAACTTAGAACTTATTAAAGAACCATTTCGTTTCATATTTGGCAAGTTCAGGGTGATTCTGTCACATATTCATTCTCTTTCTGATGCCAACATTACAATGATTCTTAATGGAAAATGACGGCATTTTCCCCGCTGGTTCGCAGCAGAAGCCTCGCTCCTTTTTCGCCGGTGTGACGATGTGAGGCATACCCATTCTTTCACGTCGCTTCTCCCCCTCCCCTGCCCAATTTTTTGTAAAAATAAAATACCTGAAATCTGAAATGACCTGAAATTCCGGAGAGGAAAATAAAAAAAAAAAGTTCTCTGGCATTATATAAAAAAAGTCAAAAGATAAAAATTAAAAAAAGAAGCCCGAAATAAATAGGAAGCAAATAGCAGGAAGTGCAGAGTCTTTTGAGAGGATCCATGGCGAGAGTCTGTAGGTGTTTCATGAGAGATGCTGGGTTCAGTGCCAGAATGAGGCTGCTCTCCTTTGCTCGCTTGACATACCGTCTTCCCAAAGTCCCCTCGTGGGCCAGGCTGGGGGGGGGGAGGGCCTGCACGTCCCCCTCCCTCGCGCTCACTTAACGAGCGGCCCGCCCAGCCAGCGGAGCTTGCAGGCAAACCATCGTCTGAGGGGACAAAAGTATTCGTAATGGAACTGCTCGAACTCGGGCGTCTGCCGGATATCGCGCAGAAACGCCACGTCGAGGTCGGACTCAGTGAGGATGATGAGGAGGAGGAGCAAGACAAAAAGGAGTCCAACGGTCACGAGGAGCAGGCGGAGGACACTTAAAACAAACTTATTCACCTGTTCCGTCTCGCCCTTGGAGGAAGCCTTGCGCGCCCAGGGGTTTAGAACTCTACCATCTGGCCCGAGCTCAGACATGTCCCCCACAGAGGGGGTGCCTGCCTCTGACTCCTTCTCCTCCTCGATGCTGCAGGGGGCGCCGTTGATCTGGCGTGATGGGGCCAGTTCCAGGCCGTGTTCCGCAGTCGGTGTGGGCTGCACGCTATCGGAGGGGCTGTAGGAGTCGTCGGCGATGACCGCCGACCCGTCGGCACCGTCCATTGCCATCCCGCGCATCCGCGGCACAAAGGAGTCGCCGTGTGACACCGAGCGCACCGGCGTGGAGTGGGCACTATCCCGCAGCGACTCCAGACCTTGACAGGGAAAGGGAAGGGGAATAAATCACCCCCATGTTCAAATGATTGCAGAAGCCTTAAAATGGCAAAAATCACAGGTACTCAGGAAGGATTGAATATATAAAAAGCCTTTATTATCACATGGCTAAGAGCTAAACAAAAAAGTTTGCTGCTGAAGGCTCAATGGACTCTACCGGTCTGGACTTTAAACCCATCTCTGTATATTATGCTGGTTTCTCTCAGGTACTCCAGCTTAATCCGAAAAACATGCAACTGCCCGTAGTGTGTTTATGTGCCCTGCCATGGCATCCTGTCTGAGCTGGGGCACGCCTTGTGGCCTGTGCTGCGTGGGACAGACCCTTGAACCCTATGAACATGACCAGGATGTGCATTTGGAAGATGGATGGCTAGGTTATGTATGTTAATTTATGTAAGTCGCTTAAGTGAAAGTGTCACGTGACCAAGCAAATGGCCAAAATTAGCTACATATTGGGACACTCGACTGGTCGCTGTAATAGTTCTGTTAGGCAGACAATTAAGTCTAGCAAGTGTGAAGAAAACTAATTCTTCGCCAGTTATTAAATGTTTGCACATATATATTCCTAGGCCTAAATGTCAATGAAAAATAAATGGGGCTATTAAAATGTGTTCACGCTAAACCTTCACACTAAAAGCAATTTGGTGAAGATATAATGAATAATTAAACCAAGTGAACTTGTGTTTCATGTGATGGATGTTTACACGGCATGCCAAGAGAGAGACGGTGAGTAAAAGCAGAGATCCGCTCTCACCACTAAAGGATTATTCAAAGAACAAACACATTGATTGCAGACCTATGGCAAATACCAGGCTGCTCTAAACACACGAGAAAAACCATTCCAGCTCACTGATGGGCATCCAAGCGAAATAGTGAGACTGGGAGGACAGGGTTAGGTCACGAAGCTGGGGATGGCACACAAATATAAATACAGAAATGATGAAAATTGTAATCCATGTATTATAATGGACAAATGTGATTCTTCATTGGGATTTTAATTGAAGGAATAGTTCCCTTTCATTAAGAGACTGATCATGTTCCAAGGGTCACATAAGAGGTTCTCGAGGTCAGGATTACTGTGCTAAATTTTTATCCTTTTTGCAAATTAAACAATAATATCTATAATAACAAAAACAGTAGCTCAGTGCTTAGAAGTGCAACCTCACCCTTCCAGGTTTGGGGTTCAATGCCAGTCTTTGGCTCTGTGTGTGTGGTGTTTACATGTCTGCAGGCTTCCTTCCAAAGCTCAAGAACAAACAGAGTGATTTTAAGGCTGTTACAGATCTGACAGGACTATGAATACCAGAGTGATTTTAAGGCTGTTACAGATCTGACAGGACTATGAATACCAGAGTGATTTTAAGGCTGTTACAGATCTGACAGGACTATGAATGCCAGAGTGATTTTAAGGCTGTTACAGATCTGACAGGACTTTTCACTCAGGTCTCAGGTGACCAGTATAACCAGTCCAAATGAGGAAGTGGGCAGCCTCACCCTCCATGATGGAGATGTGCACGGCTCTCCGGCGTGTTCTGGGCACGCTGCTGAGCCGCGGCCCATGGGTGATGGACGGACAGCTGCGACTGGGCACCAGGCCGGCTCTGTAGACAAGGAAGAGAAGGGATCTCAGTCTGTGGGTGATACGCTTGGGGACAGGCTGGACAGGAGGTGCGTGGTGACCGACGTTAGCGCTCAGAGCCGAGGCCAAGACCCACACCATACAGCATCGTCGGCAAATCTTTATAGCTTCAGTCAGCTAGTCTGTATTGCACATCACCTCCAAACACACCACCTTCCAGATCCGCTGCTAACAGGCTCAACAAGGTCAACACGGAGTTATAGTAGGATATGGGATCTCTCTGACACCTGCCAACCACCATTTTTCAGGGATTTAGAAGGTGATGAAGCAGCAACCAGATGAAATGCCTTAGCCAGTGGAGCACCATGACGTTCTTCTTAAAGGACCTTAAAAGTGTAAGCTTGGTCACTCATTTAATAAAACCGCAAGCCCGAGTAATTAAACACCATCCGCTGGTCCTTACTGCTTTTATGAAACATTCCTTAAAGGAAAGACTACAATTACAGAACTGGCGGCTCACAGCAACTGTCCTCATGCATTTCTCATCACATCAAAACACAGCTGGTCCTCAACCACGACAGGACAGAAATTGCTCCAAGTCCCTCACCTGTGGATCTCCGGAGGGTCCCGCTTGATCTTGGCACTCTGCTCCATCACCTCTTTTGCAACCCGCCCACTATGCAGAGACAAAGACAGACATGATCGTGAAGGTCATCTGTCATCCACTGGGCTCGTCTACACCCAAAGCACTCTGAGGACACAATGCATGATCCACAAGTCTCCCAGGACTGGCAACTGTGATTCCTCTTCTAATTTAACGAATAAACATTCTCAAAATAACTGTCTTCACAGGTGTTATCCTCTGATTCAACGAAAGAACAAACACACAAATGTCAGGCTAAATATGATGTGTTTTCTTTGCATTTGATCAGGTGCTTTCTTTATAAGCACAGCATCACAGGACAAGGAAAGCAAGAGAAAACCAAGAGTACAATAGCATTTCTAACAAATAATACAGCCTGTAGCCAATGGCACATCCAGGTAAAAATATGAGGGTAGAGCACAGAGAATACCTAAATTATTCATTGCTATAGAACTGACATTAGTCTATTACCACAGACAAACAGCTGTTCCTCTGCAGAATATCTGAAAGTGCTCTACTTGCTGTCAGCTGTTACCTGTATCGGAATCGACTCCCCTTAAAGAAAAGGTTACTGCTGGAGACGGTCCGCACTTGGCTTGACTTCTCCAACCTGCCAGAGCCAAAAGCGGAAAGAACAGGTCAAATGCAAAATGATACTAACAGCTCTGCGTATCAGGTTATTTCTGCTGTTTTCCTAACAATGGAAGCGGAAGGACTCCGCTGGGTCTGTCTCGTCATGTATCATTATCCTCAAAAGGCCCACAGTTACTATCCTGCTTCAGGACCCATGAATAGCCTTTTCTCAGACATGTGGGGGTCAGCACCCTGTGTTCTGTGGTAATCAAACCGAACTTGTTGACTGTCTCCTGGCAACCATATCACAGTGGGGAGACAGCATTCTTTAAGTACTTTATTAGGGGCATATTAAACTAATGAGGTAGATACTTTCAGTCTGTTCTTCCTCCTTTGTCCTTTCTAATAGCCCAGTCCTCTTGACCTACCTGCTGGCAAATCACACAACCTCTTTCCGAAGCTTCCCTGACAATGTTGTTTGAAGCAGCCCTACAGTCCTTTTCGTCTGTTTCCGACATTAAAAACATCCATCACTTTAATAGCCTCAATCTTACTGACACAGAGAGCCCAGCCAGACCACTGGTCGGTGGATCAAACAGCAGCAAAGCTCTGTCCACAAACCCTGCAACTTGACAAGTATCCTTCCAAATGCAAAGACCACATTTTTAATGACAGGGGAACCACTTTCAGTGGCATCGCTATCAGACACCCAGCTATGAAAAGTGACAGCAAGAAAACATTTCCGCTACTCTAGACAAACTGTTACCTTCCACAAACATAGGAGTGTTCTCATAACAACAGGACTGAAGAATCTCCATATCAAGGCGGAGGCCTCATCAAAATGTGCCCTACATTTTCAGGGCTTCTTCTGCTGTCTATGAGTGGCTTTCTCAGAAGAAGCTCCCATGCGAACGAGAGGAGAACACATTAGATCTTCAGCTGGGACTCACTTGTAGAAGGCTTGATTCTCCACACCGCACTTCCACAAGTGCTTGCAGGCCTCCGGCGTGGGAGCAAAGTAGGTCAAGATGATCTTTTTATCCTGCCCACAGGAGAGCCGGGTGAGGGGTGATTCTGCCTGATAAGTCATTCACAACCTAAGAATCAACAGCACAGACCTACTTCTTTGTCTAACAATGAATTTGCATGTCCAATTCTGGTAGACTGTAATGTTCTGGAAGAAAAGGAATAATGGGTATAATGGTATAGTCGATTATGGCTTCATAATATACATTAGGTTTGTGTCTTTATTCAGCCCAAGTAAAGACAAGTAAGGATTTCAATAATTTAATATCTCACCTCCTTCTGATTTGCATATATATGGAATGTCTTTCCTTCAAACTTTAGTTTGGTCACCTCGTTCCTGTCCACACAGAGACAACTGTTGGTATATCATCTTGAAATATTCATCAGTATCACCTTCTGGGGACTGTGTCATGTTAATTATACAGAAGTGGCAGCATTTAGAAAATAGCAGAACACTGGGAAGGTTTTTGAAAAAATGTATCATTTTCATAGGTTTCCATACCATAAACTAGAAGGCAGTCTGATAACCTCTGAGGTGTTGTGCAGATGTATATGCCAACACCTGAATATCATGGTCTGACTCCTCAATGGACAGCAGCTTCACTATGGGATCCTACCTCTGCACTGAGGTCAGTTTACAACCCAACCCACAATATGATAAAGTGATTTTGTTCAGAGAAACTAAGTCTCTAGTCCTTCCCGCTGTTCCCTTTCCATGTCTCTTCCTATGATATCTGAACAGAAGAACATGTTTGGGGCACATCACTCACCACTTGAGGAAATGCACTCTCTTGTTCCCCTGAAGCACCACAAACCCAAAAGGGGTGAAGGCCAAGAAGGCGGGGTTTCCAGACACATCCTGGTGAGAAATATTCACATTTGCACAACAGAAAGAGGATCCTCTCTTCCACAGGTCTTAGTGTTGCACATTTAACCCATTTCCATGTTAGATGAAGTACTGGAGCCCTTCTGCTTGACTACCTTCCTCAAGGACTCAAGAACAGCATGGTTCCGCTTGGGGGCGGAACCAGAAACGTTTTGGCCATAAGCGCACTCTCTTTACTGTGGTCCCTGAGGTTATACACAAAGCCAGATGGTCAAGGGTCGTTTATGGAAGGCAACTTCCCTATTAGAACCAGGGTGTGCTAACCCTGTCTTGGCCTGGATTGGTACACTTAGAATGGCCTCCTACAAATGATAACCTTTCATAAACTGTGTGTTCCATTTCATTCCAAAACAAGCAAACAAACAAACAAACAAATATCCATCCATCCATCCAATCCTGGGTAGGGCTGCGGTACATGGTGGATGGGACACAGAACATCTGTAATATCTGGGATATAAAATGTAAAGTACTGCAGTAAAACAGAATTAAATATCTGGAGCACAACTGCTGATGAATCAGTACTTAAAAATACTCTAGTAAATATCAAATAATATAAATACTATGAAGAATAAGTACTCATCTCTCCACATTTTAGACTACATATGAAAAATTCTAAAGAATTAATTCCCCTGAATACTTAGTGTTTCAGGGTCATAGTGACCGACATGCAACAGCACCTGTGCGCTGACCTTGCATGGGTGAGGATCCACTCCATAGGTCTCTAGCATCTGCGCCTTCTGCAAGAAATTCCGCTCTGATGTCTCAGGCGTCTGCCCTCTAAACAAAAACCGAAAGACAACATATGTCGTGAAGAAAAAAAAAAAACATACAGTCAATCTGCAAAGGCAAAGACAAAATTTTGACAGGAACACATTATTGTTAAAAAGAAATTACTGCTACAGTAACTCAATTTCTAAAAAAGTCAATTTCTAAAAAAGGGATTACTTCAGCACTAATAACTGAAATCCAGATGCAAATTTGCCCAGAAGCAGCCTTAGGATTGAGCATCTGTATACAAAGACAAAGGAGCTGTACATGGATGAATTCAGAGTCAGATAAATTGCAAGTGACAAGAAAAGCTGAAGTGAAGCAAAGAGCAGTACTTCAGAGAGTACTTCCAGGGCCGTGAAGAACGGTGGCGGCAGTGTCACGACCTGCCAGATGCACAGCCCAATCGGAAACGCACTTGTTTGCTGGGGCTGCAGACATAACCACAGATGACAGCAACATAATGGACTGAAAAGCCAACAGGAATTCTTTGCTTGTCTACACAGAAAAAAAAATGATTCCAGGCTCAACGCTCGTCACCTCCTCTCAACATGGCAACAACACAAAAGCTACCAGCCCCTGAAGAAAAACATGCAAAATCTCACACATTCAGGTCTCATGGAGCATAAGCTGATTCAGAAGTAAGGGATGAAGTCAGAATGTGCCACAGTATGGACTAGTGGCTTTTAACCCTGGTACTTTCACGCCACGATATGTGTAGGGAGTCAGTCCACTTCAGCACTATCTAACTCATTATTACACTAATTTACCTTTGCAGTGCTGAGGCAGGGAAAGTGCACACACAGCAGTGGGCCGATTCATGGCTGTGGAACACGTGACTAAACAAAGAATCTCAAGTGAATACACAATTGATGTCAGTGGGCTGCAGGCATAATGCCGCTTTCATTACCAAGAGACAAACTGTACACGCAGAGCAAAGACCGAGTTAAACCCCCAACCCAGGAGGTGTGAGGAAACAGTGCTACCTGCTGAGCCAACATGCCGCCCCCCCAAAATGCAAATTAGTTTTATATATACTCACTGGCCACTTTATTAGGTACAACATCTCCACATGGACCAAAGTCTCCGAGGAATGTTTCAAGTGCCTTGTTGAATGTGCCACGAAGAATTAGGGTAGCTCTACGGGCAGGAGGTCCAATGCGGTACTAGCAAGGTGTACCGTACCCAAAGAGGCCAGTGACTGTATAACAGTAACACTTTTCAAATACATTTGCAAGAAACTCTTTCAAAAGCAATAAAAAATATAAAATATTTAAAAACCAAAAAAAAAACACATTGAAATATTATGGGAAGGATTCAAATTACCATTCTGATATGTTGCCTGTAGTTAGTGGAATAATTACATATATTGTATTTTTTAGGGTTGTTAGCCACTAGAGGGCAGCACAGGTTTTGATTATCAGTGTACACATCATTTGCAGCGATTGTGCAGTTTTGCTCGCTGCAGTCATAACTATCTTGCTACCTTCTGGTTCTGCACTGGCTGGTGAACGGTTTCAGGAGATGTATATTCAAAGACCTCCCATGAGAGCACATACTGTCAGGGAGGTAGGAGCTCAGCCCAGCCGTAAGCAACCCAGCTCTGACTCACGCCTATCTGTGATACTCATTTCAGAATATATAAGATAGTAATAATATTTACATCTGAGGCATGTCCAAAACACTCAACTAATATTTTGACAACTATTCCTCATGATTGTATTTTTTCACTCAGATCTCACCCCACAGTGGTTTGCATGTAGGCTATAGGCCCCAAAAGCAGGTTGCTGAGCAGATTGCTGCCTTTGTACTGTAGGTCACATGATGCCTGAAGAACAAGCACCAACTGGAGAAGCAGGAAATTTCCCTGCCTATTCTAATAGCATGGAAACGTTTATACAAGAGCGACGGTGGAGTTCTGGAATGATTTCCTTATGCGTATTGGCCTATCAGAATAGGGGCCACAGCAACCATGCTAAGGACCACACTAATCGGGGCATACACTGGGAATTCTGCGTACAGGGATTTGTGTTAGGTGGTGATTAGGGGGATTATTAACCCAATTCATAAGTCTGTGTAACGGTTATTAGGGCAATGCGTTAGGGGAGTAAATGGATATACAATAAAACATTACATTTGAAATGACCCAACTTGCTATTGTTGCACTGTTCTACGCTAGCAATATCATAGCTCACTCTAATCAAATCCTTTCTTTTTTTGTGCAAGGAAGTAATTTGTTATATTCCCAGCTTTGCACAAGCCACTACCAACCTCAATATTCAATTCAAAGACTAAATTAGCTCATTTGGGGAAAGTATTAGTTCAACAGTGTTTTAGATGGAATGGAAATTTGCATATACATCAGCCTGTCAGAACTGGGATTTGGGACTCTGGTCTAGCATAAACACACAGCACACAATCAATAAGCCCCAGACAGTAAAATATGAAGAATGATGATGATCGTACTATAATCATACATCAGGAAATCAGAAAATCTAGCTTTAGATGAATATAGCGCACACGTGGTGGCTATGATGTACCAAAGCATTAAAAAACTGACACTTAGCCCAGAAAAAAAAAAATGATGTTGTGGACAGGAAATGGGAACCCAAGGAACGCAATTTGGAATTACAGTCCTCTTCGTTCGTAAGTTGAAAGTTCTTAAGCAGAGGAGCATCTGTACTTTTGGCATTTTAATTTTTTTTATTTCATTCTCAGATCTTTGTGGGGACCTGAAAAATGTCTCCACAATGTCAAAATAACAGATTTTTACCACATTGTGGGGAAAATTTGGTCCTTACAATGTATTATAAAACTAATCCACACACACACACACACACACACAAACAAACGCAGGGACTCTCCATTCATTTCTATGGAAAAATCCCAAATGACAACCCTGACCCTGACCCAGCCCTAACCTTAAGCATAAAGAGCCAAACAAAATACAAGACTTTTGGAATTTTTAGTTTTTGATTGTATTTTTATAAAATTGACTTTCTGCTTAAGGGGAACAAAAAAATGGTCCTCACAACATCAAAATATATATTTTTTTTAATTGGGGGGCCATATACTGCACACTGCATACTGTCACCCTTCTCTCCTTAAACAGCACCAGCAAGGTAAGTAAAAGAGGCACCAGTATAATTCAGATTCAGATTTTAAAGGTTTTATGTTTCCTATTGAAATGGTTCCTCCATTCCTTTGAAACACACCAGAGAAAGAAGATCAAAGTCAACACACCAACTCCGCAGACAAGCCAGGAGAAGGGGTGGAGCACAAGCAGGCATGTGGGGCGAGAGAGTGCGAGCGGAGCACGCCCCCCAGCCCAGGGGACACAGGTGTCCTTACATCAACTCCGTTTTGTGGATTTCGGCAATTCGCCGCTCCAGCTTCTCCGAGTGCTTGGGGAAGAACTGGAACTTGGAGCTGTATCCTTCCGGGTGCTTCCCGGGGTCATAGTCTCCGATCTCAGCTGAGGGGGGAGAGAGAAGCGTCAGTGCGGGACTCGGCACATGCTGTCCTGCACATGCTGCAGAAGCGGGCGCAGTACAGCCTCTCTTTATGGATCTCACGTACATTCAGGCACAAGGACAAGCAGGCAGCCCTGATATCCCTCAATCTGGCCTCATTTAGCAAAAACTCAAGCAGAAACTTAGTTATGGTAGCAGGTCTCACAGCAAGTAAATCCACATTTGCTTCAATTCAATATGGGTGAACCACACTGCATCATACATCCAACACCATCCATCCAAAGTCACTTATCCAGTTCAGGGTCACAGTGAGCCTGGAGCGTGGCTCTGAGAAGGGACAGGGCACAAGGCAGGGGACACCCTGGACAAGGTACCATTGCAGACACTCAACATTAGCATTATGTAAATGATCTTTCTAAGCAACTGGCTAATTTCTGAATCAGCAGAATGCTGTCCTGCACTGTACCAACATAAGCAGAAATGCAAAGGAACTGACATCCAGGCAAGGAGCAATGGCAGCTTAAATAAATAAAATCAGTATATGACTAAGTGTTAAAAGCAGACATAAACAGCACTGCACTGAATTTTTCGTTTTTCTAACAGTGTTTCACTGGTACTGGGTTATTGCTCTGAGATTCCTGAAATCCTCCATCTAGTTACCCCTTGCAAGATTAGTTCCGTAAATATCCATTAATTAGACAGAGATGTCAGTGAGCCGGCACCACTTTTGAGTCTCTAGCATGTTCATGTAGTTCCGGGACTCCAGTCCCAAGGGAGGCGTTTGGTCACCCTGCGAAACACACATGGGACGGAATGCGACACCCCTGAGATAACGTAGGGCCAGTAATAACCATCAGCACAGGTCACACGGTACACAGTGGACAGAAGCCACAGCCCGACCCAAACAGCAACAAGGCCTGAGGCAAAAAATCACGCCCACCCACCCACCCAGTGACATCACGCCGCAAGCTAGGGGTGCGGATCTCGGGCCAAACATAAAGCTGTGCTCAGCAGACCCCACGGAAAACTCCAGATGAAACCAGCAGACTATTTTTTGACTGTTTTTATATTAGTTCTTGGACAGTTGAACTGGTCTGAATTATTCTATTGCAAATGAAGTAGTGCATCCTTTTCTCAAATCCAAGTCTATACATATAATGGTTTATAATGCAGACTTTTTCAGTTGTAAAAAAAACCCACAGGAAATTCTCCCGGAATTTCTCACTGGCCTTAGATAGGTAATTTCATACATTACAGTACAATAGAGAGACTCTGGTGGGTTTTATGTCTGTGGTCTGCGGTATGTTTCCATTCAAGTGGCCTGGCGTGACAAGCTTAGCTGCAATGAGAGAGTGAACCTTCACCTTGCAGAATGTACGCGGCCAGCATGGCGGCGTCTGACGTCTTGCACAAAAGGCGGCCATGGTACAGATCCCTCTTGATCTGCAGGAAGACGAGATACCTGCAACACAATGAGGGAAAACGGCCAATCAGAGCTCAGCATCTTTCTTGACCTACCAAGAAATAAAGACCCAAGAATTCTGGGATCCTCTTAGTGGTTGTCTCAGAATGGAACAGCGAATGTCACCTGTGAGAGTCTCAAAAGGACACTGATTTAATCAGAGACCTCTTATAATGGTTTATTGTGATTTTAAGTTTGTATCCTTGGGAGCTGAAGAGGTTTTCCTTTGTTTTATTGTTGTGCATTTGAGAGGTGAACTGACATTACGTTGAATGGTGCTGTTCAGTCCAAGTGTCCCAGAGGCTTACAATTACTTGCCTGCTCCAGGTCTCTGCACATCTGCAGAGGGAACTTAGAGGATGGAGACAGTTCAAGCTGTAACACTTTGAGATCACTGTAGACACAGGGCATGGCTAACAATCTCTCTCACATTCTAGAAAAAAAATCTCCATTCTTAGATTTTCCTGACTGAGATTGCTCTATTTCTTCAATTTCAGACAAGATATTCAATTTCACATCAGACTCCCTTGCCACTACAAGGAAGCCAAACTAGAAATAAATCATTCATACAAAAGGGCTTAACCTAATGACCCAGCAGAGTACTCAGCAGAGTACTCAGCAGAATACTCAAAGTAGAAAAGAAACATGTAAGTTTTTCTTAATTTCTCTCATAATATAACACTTACTCTGTTAGCAACCTTTCCTTGGTCTACAAGAGGTACAGAAAATTAAATGCAGAGCTTAGGAAAGAGCACAGCACTCCGGCAGTATGTTTCTGTTTTTGTACACTTTTCAAATGCAAAAATCCCGAAACGATGTAATTTGCGGTTTTTGAACACCGAGGTGCAGCACCTGAGCTCCCTGCCAGCCAGTTTCCACCCAGGATTTCTGAACTGTCAACAACCTCAGCCGCCAGCGCGAGGGCCTCACCGGCTCGGGGAACATCATAATCGGTTCAACTGAGTGCTTATATGTTCAAGTAGACTGGAGCTCAAACCAATTTTGCTTTTTATATGACTCCGAATTACCCGTTTGCACAACAGTGAACTGATCATTAGGAATAACTGATTATAAGGAACTGTCCAGATCTGATTGGCAATAGTTTTATTGTTTTTTTAGTCTTAAAAAGTATTCCAGCGTTATCAGAACTAAATAGTGTACCTTAGTGGTGCTTAAACTGGGTCCAGGAATTATTGTACTGCCAGTAGTTTTGACACAATAATCTTAATTACGTTAAGTAGAATCTGTCCAAAAAGGTAATTAGAAGTAAGGTACAAAACAACATTAGGCATCCTTGGGTTTATTTAACTGGTTTTAAACCCATCTTTTAAATTCCCGTTTTACGTATAAAGAACATAAACATTTTTTTTAGCATTTGAGACATAGCAAAGACCACTGCAGTGCTTGAATGTAAGTGCACAGCTATAAATAGCAGATAATGAATTGCTAATTGGACCTATTAAGCCAGTGAAATTGGTCTGCAAACCCACTTGCATGGCCCTCTGGGGACTGAACTGGAGACCCCTGAAGTGCCAGCGTTGGCATGGAGGTGCCCCTCACCCCCCCATGCAGCGCCGGCCAGCAGGCAGACATGTCAGTTTGGGTCTCTGACGGGTTCCTGCACGGGTTTCCGGCCCCCAGAGCGAGTGGCCCCCTGTTGCTCAGGACACATGCTCATCTTGAGCTTCACAAGTAGAGCACCACTATGAACGCTAATAGTACTTCACTTAAGGTGCCATATGGGGTTGGGGAAAGAAAAGAAAAGCAATTATGGTTCCTCTATTCTCTCTTGACAGCAGCAAGGAGGCTATTGCTATATCCACCAGTCAATTCCTGCCCTATATTTCATGTCCCTTATCACCAGACACCTTTAATACAACCCAGCTTAACTCCATCCAGTCCATGACATATGAAATGGCCTCTAAAATCTAGCACACCTACGATGGACTAGCCTTACTGAGAGAGCAAGATGACTTTCCTCGGGTCTTTGGGATCAGGGATTGGCATAACTGGTACGAAAGTACGCATTCACCTTAAGAAGCGATACGTGCGGCAATCGATTGTTGTATCAGTGTGAATGCGTATGTATTTTATGTACATTTGCGCTGATATGACAAGAAATTATCGTGCATGTGTACTTGCGTACCAGTTATGTCAATCCCTGTTTGGGATGCTTACAGGAGGTGGGACTTAAATGCCATCACAAAGTATTTAAAGTGCACAAAATTACTATTAAACGTGATGGTGTCAGAGCTTTAGTGCATGTTCCTAAAGGGCATGATTTTACTGGAAAAATGCTCAACATACTGTTACCTCATTGAAATGGTCAGCTTTGACTATGCTGATTGACCCTAACCCTCAATGAAAGTGATATAGACATTTGCATAATTAGATAAAACCTCTAGAATATCCAGCTATTTTATTATGAAGCCTCAGAAGACTCAGCTAAGAGTTCCTTTAAAGGTTTTCTTTATCTCTAACCCTAACAAACGCATCTCCCATCATGGACACCCAAACCCATGAAGATCAAATTCTTGTATTTTTCTGTCCCTGCTACATTTGGAATATAAGGAGGTCAGAGTTGTCTTTCCTAGGCACTAATGACGGTTGTCTGAAATAATTCTTGCTAACTGTTGGAGGCCTAATCGGTACAGAACATGTTACGGTTCAGTTAATAATAATAATAATTCATACTTCATTGATCTCCGTGGGCAAATTGTCTTTACACCTCCCTTAGCTTGGCCTTTGTAGAGTAAGCTGTCCAGAAAGGGCAGCCACCTGTCGGGGCACCCAAGGAGCTGGGGGTTAAGGGCCTTGTTCAAGGACCCACAGACATGCTGAGGCAGGGTTTTGAACCAGTGACCTACTGATTACAAACCCCCAGGTTTAGCCCACTGAGCCACACGCTGATCGCAATCAAACAGTGACCTGTATGATTCCCCTGAAGCTATCAACAGACTGTCAAAATGTTTGGGCCAAGAATCACTAGAGATTCTAACCCCCCATTAGCTTAATATAATCAAATAGTAACTCGGGAAGACTTTTCGTAGACAATTTTGTCATAGCCACAGGACAAAAAGTATCCACTGGAAATCAAAATTCAATCAGCCATTATAGTCATACTTCTGACTCTTGTAATGAGTTTAAAAGCACTCTGTCAACTTTAATTATAATGACCCAGCCACTTGCATGCGGTCCATTGGGAAAACCTCCAATCCGCCTTTCCTCAAGCCCCGAAGAAGAAGGATTTGTACTAAAAGGAAATGCTTAGGGATTATGAGACCTTGTTTGGATGAAAAGGGTCCAGGAGGTTTTTGTGTTATCCTAGGCTTAGTTTCCAGAATACATATTTAAATATTTGAGAATTCCCAGTTTTGAGCTTGTTCTCATAAATTCTGATGTTTCTGAAATGGCTTTTTAACACCCAAATGGAATCTTGCCCTTATATATCTTGCTCTCTCTCTTTCTCTCTCTCTCAGAAAGTTTAGCAGACTGGGCCCAGAGGCTCAGAGCAATACTGGCCAGGTAATATCACTTCTTGAAGTCCATCTTAAAAAAAACAATCATTAACACATCCAAATACATAGAGTGTAACAGAAAATATTTCTGCAGGTCCCATGTATTTGCGAGACACGGGAAAATGTCTTCATGTCTGCACCAGGGTTTGACGTCCACGCTGAACAACCTAGCATTTTATTTACATCCCTATATCCAGCCAAGGTTCACTCCACCCAGGGTTAAAACACAGAGCCCACCTCTGCCTCCTTATGTCCAAATCAAACCTGGCTGGAGTGCAGCTCCGCCTCTTTCAACGTAAAAATATTTTTCGTAATAGATAAAAAAGACGTAATTTTCATTAGTAGCTCTGATCAAAAATTAATTTTCCGAGCGCATGACACATTCCTACATGATGTTTAGATTCCTGTCGCATGTTTTTGTGTTTTGACTTATTTCGCTTACCATACTGCTGCCAAAACGTCACTTAGCTAGACTCCGCTAAAGGTTTGACGCGTTAGAAGCAGCCCATGAATAACTTGACGTTTTAATGCATTTCCATGGGACCATCACAAATGAAGCAAGAATATTACTTGTAGCCGTTCTGGTGCATTTTTAAGTTTCATTTACGTGTAATGTTTCCAAAAATCCAAGTACTATTTAACTACTCTATATGTACAATACTCATATCGAATAAAAATAATTTTTGATCTCATTTTTTGGTTTATTTTATATTGCTTTAATGAGGTAAAACATGCCAACAAATGAACAAAAACATCTTTAACACTGTATTCATAACTGCAGGTCATAAGTAATAAACTAATATACAGAGAGGCTTATTCATCCCCCCCCCACCTGACAAGGCTCTCCCTTCTCTCTGATTAACCCCGGACTCCACCACACTCCCAAAAGCCGTTTTACCATCCAGGGCAGTTCCATTCAGGCTTAGATCCATCCTACCAAGGCCTCACACAAGGCTAACAATAGCTCTGGCTCAGCAGGCGTCTCAGCCTCTCTGGGCCATCCAGGGTTTACAGGCTAGGCTGGAGGAAAGGCCTATGAATCAGAACCAAGATGGCACCAAGAAGAAAACCTGGGTGGCTTTGATGGTACAATACTGAAGGCAAGAGCAGACAAGCAGCATCTCACTCAGTACAGATATTGTCTGGTTGGACATGAAGACCCTTGTTTCTTACCTTGTGATTTCCTCTTTCAGGGCAGCAGGATCCGGTGGGTAGAACTTGACACGCAAACACATGGTGAACGGGGGCTGGGCTACGAGGGCAAAACTGGGTCAGAACTGGAGGCACGTCGTCAGGCGGCTGTCTGAGCCGAGCTAAAATCACACGCCGCGTCTCGGTGATTAATACATAGGAAGGAAACTCTACAATCCATGTAGATGAATTCAAAATGCTGTGCTTGGTAAATACTGTATATTCTGCTCATCTGAGAGAATAAAACAGCACATGATGCATGAGACTAACCTGTAATAACTTGATCAAAAACACAAAGACAGTCAACTGAGCTGAAAATGATGCAGTGCCTGATAATACTTACACTTCATTTGTTTGGCGATGGATTTGGTGAACTCCAACCAGTGCTGAAAGAACAACACAAACTCCATTGGTCCCAGACCAGCTTCCATCCAATTCCTGCTACATCTGTTCCGCAAGCAGGCCACCACTTCCCAGGCAGATTACATGCAGGTTTTTCATGCATAACTGATTGTTTACCAATTGCAGCAGTTAACTAATGCGGACATCTGTCTTTATAATGACATCGTCAGTGGTTTGTTAGTGGAGCACTAGAACTCCTGTATATTAGTCAGACCAGCAGGACCAGGCCTGCAGACCCTTGTTCACATCGATTTTTAATGAATGCTTTTCTCAAGGTTTCTAATTACCTCAAGAGCAGAATAGGCTCAAACAGGATAAGATGGATGAATGGATGGATGGATGGATGGATGTTTTCTTATCATTATTTTGAATAACCAATTGTTTGAATAAAAACACCAATAGCACACAAAAAATGAGAAAAGAATCATTAGCATTTTCTTATAAAGGGTTTATGGGTGGTTTATTATCAGGATAATTATTAATAGATAATTTATAATAATTTATTTAATTATTAATAGTCAATTATATGTTATAACTGTTTTCTTTTTATTAATGACTCACTACAGTTTATAAAAGGCAAAAGTGAGCCTTATTGTAAAGTGGAACCATTTCAATTAATGTGCAAATTACCATTTGTGTTAAGCTTCCATCAGGTAAATCAGTGACCTTGAATATTCAGATATACCCACGGGTGCAGTAGGGGCACGGATACCCTGGCAGATTTAGGAGCCCCGCACTTTACAGGGGCCACAGTAGGGGCACGGATACCCTGGCAGATTCAGGGGGCACAGCGCATTACAGGGGCCACAGTAGGGGCACGGATACCCTGGCAGATTCAGGGGGCACAGC